GCGTCTGTGTAGTCTGTGTAGTCTGTGTAATGGGAAGTGAAAGTTTATTATTAAAGTAGGCCGAGCTCGATACTGGCTGAGTAGTAATAGTAGTAATAGGCTAGGTACCTGTCTTAGTGGGTACTCGAGATCTTAGACTGTCGCCCTAGGGGAACTGGTGGATCGGAGCGCGGACTTGGCAGATGAATAGTTTTGAGATTTCTAAGAACATAATATCATTGTTCAGGTAGAAAAGCTTCGGTGAGCCATAATAAAAGAACAATTGTGGTAGTGAGGTAATAAGTAATTGGATAACTAACGATATTGCTAGCTTACAGTCCATGTTGAAGTTTTGCTAATAGCCCCGGATTGGCCGATCATTCGATGGCGCAATTGGCTTTATACCATTCGAAGTCTAGCGGGATATTTAGAAATAGCAAAGTACGCAATACAATTTCATTTCTCTATTTGAAAGCAACGGACTAAGCCGAACACCAACTTTTACATAGTCCATAGACGTAGTATTCGGTGGTGCTAACTCCATTTTCATGGCATTTTCATGGAACCTTGAGCGCAGCATAACTCAGCAGTTAGACATGGTACAAATTCACAACCTATGCACATATGATCTTGTAATGGAGGTTGAGTATTCTGGTATTAGATATCAATGTTAGTAAGAATGATCTGGAAGTACTTACTAACATAAGACGAAACTGAGGTTGGAGATAATAACGATTGGAACAAGTGGGACAAGTACCCAGATAATTGTACCCGATTCGGCAAAAAACTAACTGAAACAACCAATCACAGAGCTTAATATAAAGGCATGGTCTTAGCGTCGATGGCGCAATCTTTTCTTCAGTTGATGCCATCATTATAAATGCGGGAAAGAGAACACGGGGAAGTTTATCTCCAATGCCTTGTTTTATGTTTGATGTCATATGTTATAATAGATTGGACGGGTGCTGATCCGGTGCTCGGTGCCGGTTTCGCTGTAAGTATTTCTATAGGAACTACGGATTACTATAAAATGGTTATAAGCCGACCTACAAACATATCGTGTTCTTATCAACCCATTTATCTACATATCTAACTTGCTTTCAGAGTCTAGACCCGTGAGAATGCTTAGCCGGCATGGGGCCTCTCTTTACTAGCAGCAGCAGTTAAACTAGTATAATATTTAAATATCTAACCTATATCCATGTAGGTTAAGTCGTAAGTCTCCGAGAGGTAATCCTGAACCGAGCTTCGGCTTCCCCCGATGCAAATAATATGCAGAATGATCGTACCTGCAGGCTTCACGGGCCATAATCTACGGGGAAATCTTGACCAATCCTAGTAGCAGTGGATCGGTCAAAGGTTGCCAACCTTGCTGTAACCTTACCTGCCTTAGGCGTTGACATCAATGTAAGCTTTTTCACATGCTGATCCAATATCGGTGGATGTTGTACAATATAATGCAGGAATGAACTGCAGCATTGGAAAAGAATAACTACCCCTAACATAGGAGAATCATTAAAATACATTACTTACCACCTGCTTCTTAACTAATGCAATTGTGTCGTCTTTGAAGAATAAACATTTATAAAAATAATGCATTTACATAACAGGTACATATTCAGCTAAATAAATAACCTTTTTAAGCCGACGCGTTCTGCTCGCGTTAAAATCTCGTGGATATGTATGAGGAAGGGGGGGGGGGGTGGGTTACCTATTATTAGGTCACTACATACGTATGTTGTATTGTACCCAAGTACCTCAAGCCCTCTCTAAACAACTCCTCCAACTCCAACCTCTTTCCCTGCCCTGCCTTTTTTTTATTTTTAATAATTTTACTGCGCCTAGTCGTCGCACTGCAACTATACAACGTGCTGAGCATGATTTTCCCTCGATATCGACCATAGCTTCAATTTGCGTGTTGCCGCAAATCCATATAGCTATCACTGTTGCCAGCTGGTCAAAATGACGAGCCCAACGCGCGAGTCATTCCCGCCCATCGTGCAAGCTTTCAACACCTTCACGACCACTGCACTTCCTAACCAAACACACACCCCGCCGTCACCTCACACCCACAGATTGCGCAAGCTGCAATCCGCACATAACCTCGGTGCCGCTGCTCGAATATCAAGTCAAAACTCATCGATACCTCAACAAGTTCTTCGACATCCCCAAGAGGGCGTACCACCTCCGACTCGCAATGTCAACCGATCCCCACAGAGAAACAGAGCCAACTCGGACGCGACACCCCCGCAACCCCCGACGCCCTCCATATTTCCAAACAATATTTTGCTATCCTTAAACCACAAGAGAAGCGCTCTAAGTAAGGCTTCAAGAGTAGCTGATGCCATGTCTCTAGACAGACTGATCAGGGAGGGACCCCCTGACGGGGATGTGAATGGTGCTCTGGAGAGTGCGCGTCTTAAGGTCCTAGATCAGGGTATCAGGAGCGACAGCGATGGAATGGTGCGATTTTCTTGATACCGATCCGATATCGACCGTGCTAATAAAGGATGCTTAGTCGCGGACTAGAATCTACTTCTGGCTTATATTTATCGATGCGCCCATTCTTGATACTAACGAGTATCTCGGGCTTATACATCGAGGGGCTTCTCCCGCTTATTCCAAAATCCGAAACGACACATTTCGAACCCTGACTACCGATCCCCTCTTCCGTCGCCGCGTTAGCGAAGCGAGTTTGATTCGTCTTCTTAACGCTATCGCCTGGAAGCTTCACGACGCGAAGGAAGAACGTCGCCCAACAAGTAGCAGATTGTCCCTCGCCGCGACCGAAAGCGCTGGTAGCTCTCGCAGCGATATCTCGCAAACCGATGCGTCTTCACCGTCTGCTAGGAATCGTGCCCGCGCCCTTACGCTCACGACAGAAGGTTCCGATGTTACTACCTCAGAACCAGGGACTTATGTGCAAGGCATGAACGTGCTTGCTGCCCCGTTCTTATACGCAGCCCGTAGCGAGGTGGAAGCCTTCGCTGCTTTCCATACGCTCCTAACTAAGGAATGTCCTGGGTACATTAGGGGTGCAATGGATGGGGTTCATCGCGGTCTAGCACTCGTTGACAAAGTATTGGCGATCGTGGACCCTAAGCTAAGTTTCTATTTAACATCCAAGGGTTTATCAGCAGAGATTTATGCTTTCCCTTCCGTCCTTACACTCTGCGCATGCACCCCTCCTTTACCGGAGGTGCTGAAGCATTGGGATTTCCTCTTCGCCTACGGGCCGCAGTTGAACATCGTGTGTATCGTCGCCCAGCTAATCATGATGCGCAATGAACTCCTTACCTCTTTGAAGTAAGTATACATACCTATGACTACTTGGTATTAGGGTATTGGATTATCATACTAACAAGTAAATAGCCCTAACAAACTCCTTCGATCATTCCCGGCTTTGCGGGCAGAAATGATCAAACGAACAGCTCTGGCTATCATTAGGATGATACCCGACGATATCTATGCTGATATCATACGACACGCTCTATAACATACCCCTTCTCAAAAGGTGACGCGATATGGTTCTCTACGAGTTACGCTCATATGACCCAGGTTTTAGGTGTTGGATCATACATACATCTTTGTAATAACAACTCCAACCGTCGACAATCGTTTCAAAGCCAACTAACTGCGAGATCTCGGCATAATAATACCACCGCGAAAGCCGAGATCTTTAGCGGTTCGGGTTCCTTTTGTCAAGAGGCACTTATACTATAAGACGGCCCTTGCATATAGATTTCTCCAAACAAGAGGTTTACAACGGGTAATGCAAAAAGGGAAAATCTTTTTTTTTCCGATTTTATGTCTTTTTTTCATTCCTCTTCTGTACGGTACTAGACGACATGCACGACGACCGGGGAAGATGCGAATACAAAATAAAAAGCCAAGGGGCCGGCTAGCTCACGATCACGCGAATGATGTTTACGAAACGAATCCCTCATGTGTTTTTGTACAAGTATGGGGCAGGGGGCAGGGGACAGGGGACAGCAGGGCGGGTATTACGGTATATTATACTATACTACTATCCTATATCCCTAGGTATATATATATATATATACATCTATACCATAAGGAGGGATGGTCCTGGTTTTTAACGCGGAAATGAACGATGGCGAACAGGCGGATGGATAAATGGTAGGATGGATAAGGGGGTATTATATTATATACCGTAATAGGCAGGCGCACCGTCGTACGTTGCTGTAAAACTCTGGAAATAAAAGTTATGATCGGAACGTTTGTTTTGTTAATTGTAAGTAGGGCATGTATTAATGGTTGGGTGTCTGATTTGCGGCGATATGAGTGGATTCGAACTTGGGTCTTCAGTCTGGGGGTATAGTTAATATTGACTTTGATGATAGGAGAGGCGTGTTGTAGTAAAAGTCACCTGGCATTTGGAATCCGGGACTTGATAATTGAGTCTGCATGCTCTCGAGCGAGTGAGTATGATGATAAGGGATGGGTTAGCCGATCTCTACTAAGCGAAGTCGAAAGCTAGCTTGTTCCCTTTCGTGTCTGGTGCGGCGGTAGTAGTTATTGAGTTTACGTTGCTTTCTTTCTCCCTTGGGCACCTTATGTAGCATAGGTAGGTAGGTAGGTAGGTATACATCTCCCTACATACTTCCACCGCAGCCCTTAGCCCGGGGGGGCTCATGAAGAAAGACTACACGCACAGGGCGGATGAGTCTATGTGCTACGATATATCGGCACCAGATTCCATTGGAATACTGTGGTCTAGAATTTGTATCAATAGACGAGATAGCCATGAAGAGAGCCTCCAAGTACTGAATAATGATGTATGTATATATAATGCATATGATAGGCCCGCTCATCCAACATTTTGGAATAGCCTCATGCTCTCTCGCTTTTACATCTATCTCTACCACACCTCTACCTCTACCTCTACCTCTACCTTTACCCTTACCCTCTGTCAATACCAGCGTCTCCTCTACCGCTTCTATACCATCTATCATCGACTCATTTACATATCTCGTAACCCAGATACAACTTCGCTCACCATGCTCACTTTTTCGTTCCTATTACTCTGCTGCGGCCTCTTGGTCTCAGCGCAAGAGAAACACACCAGCACCTTCGTCGTGCATCACAAGAGGGAGACGGGAACCTGCGAGCAGACCTATGGGGAAGGCTCGCAGTCGTGCGGCGGCAGCGGAAGCACATATTGCTTCAACCCTAAAATCGGCCAGGTAGGAAAGAACTCGTATATTGATCGTGGAAAACAAATGCTAACTCGGAATAGTCGTGCTGCTCAACAGACAACGGGTTTTGCGATTCGGGAAAGTATTGCGCGCCTGTCGCAGGTTATTGCTGTCTTGAGGTATGAGGTCGACGGCCTTGGTCGATTAAGGGCCCGTTAGCTAACAATATGTAGGGAGAGGATTTAGAGACGTGCGCCCGTAATGCTGGTTTTACACTTCCTGGTTCCGCCTCGAATATGTCTGCGAATCCCCATGTGGTGGTTAATGCAACAACTGTTGCCAGTCCTACGTTAACAGTCCTTCCCTTCCTCAAAGAATCGCCAACGCCAACGCCAACGCCGACACCGACACCGACACCAATGATAGTAGACAGTCAAAACAACTCATGCTCATTCGCTACCCATGCCAACTTAAACACGCCTGTACCTGTACCAACCCTTATATCGCACACGAACACAACAGCCCCACCGCCCGTGCAAGTCTCTTCGGCAGTGAAACGAGCTGAAACTTCGACGGGATTAGTGGCACTACTTAGTTTATTGAGTATTTTGGCTGTTGTTCTTCTTGATTTAGTTATCAGCCCTAGGTAACTTTAGGGCGGAGTGTATTTCTGTGAGAAGGAATCTTGATGGCTATTGTAATTGTCTAGACGTTTGGGCCCAACTATGAAGACATGTGGTTGGGGGATTCGAGAAGTTGCGCGGTCCATTGTACATAACTACCTGACGTCTTGGTATCGGTTGAAGGATCCTGCTTAATAGGTCGGGCAGCCCTGTTGTGCTCGCTGAAAGGCGCCAGAGAAGAATTCTTGCATAGCAACATAATGATAAAGAATTCCACCAAGTACGGCAAGCTACATCCTTAATTAGTGCCAACGCAATCAAAAGGGGTACCATTAATACTTACATGCCATAGGTTGTGCGCATTACCACAGTAGTCAAACGCGCCAGGGCACCATCGCTCGGGGACTTTGCTTGCGTAGACGCAAGCTCCAAGGACATAAACGAAGAGAGATTTGAGTAGGTTGGAACCCGCATAGAAGTCAAGTGCCCAAGCAGGGCCTCGTGTCAGAATGATCTGGAATACCGGCATAAAACCAGTGGCACCCAATCCCACAAAGAAGCCCACCCTCAACCAGGCCATATCCTGTCCATTAAACTTAGGATGCCAAGGGAGGATGGTGCCGGCAATGCCTAGCACAGCAGTTGTGGTCATATATGTCCACCGACTAATCGGTTCACAATAAAAGGCAGTATACTCGGTTGTCATAATCGACGCTGCGATGAGCAATGAGATACCGGTGTAGTCGATGCATGCGAAGCGTTCCAGTAGAGTTTGATCTGCAACGCAGTTCATAGTGTGCCAAATGGTGCTGCAGACCAAGCATTTGCAAGCTGCGAAAAAGAAGACGGCGGCAATAAAAACATCCGTTTTCGAGTAAAGGGAGAAGTTGGCCGAAGTCGGGTAGAAGTAAAAGGCGATGGACAGGATTAGTATCAAACCAAGCGCATGAGACCAGATGTTGACCAGTTCGTTTGAAACACCGAACATTGAGCGAACGCAACCAATCTTGGATTCGGTGAAACGATATCCGCCAAGTATATGAGGATTGACCCTCCAAGGTACGGGGAGCTCCTCATACTTAATAAGGCCTTTTTCCTTAGCACGATTAATTGCTCTTTGTACGTGCTCCTCGACGGTCTCTGCAGCACGCCAGGCTCGCTCAATGCCATCGTCCATAACACCGCGAGCGCGTTCTATACTTTCGTCCACGACCCGCTGGCCTTTGTCTATTAAACTTCCGGCAGCGTCGGCGGCATTCGCAAAGCCTTGGTCGCGGAATTTCAAGGCTCGGGTCTCGAAGTCGGTAAGCATGCCGTCGAGGAGTTCAACGCCGACACGCGCTTTCTCGTTCATAGACTCGGCGGCTACTAAGGCCTCATGATATCTTGTGTCTAAAGTCTCGACCATAACCTGCAATCGCCGCCGCCCAGCGCCAATAACCTCTTCCGAGACTTGCGAGCAGCGTTCACGCACTGCTTGTAACGTTGAAAATGTTTTAGATATACTCGAATCCAGGTCGATAAATTCGCCGTAACTCTCAAGGTATTCAAGTCTCCTCTCTAATTCCGAGAGGAACAAATCCACCTTTATTATACATGTAGTTAGTATAATTGCTACTAGAGCCTCGAAGCGTTAAGGGAATGTACTTTAAGAAGTAAGCCCTCCTCCCCGTCCATGATTTGTTGGACTAAAGAATGTCTTCTCCGAGGCATAAAAGAAGAGTGCCGCCTACGCCGGCGTGGTAGGTTTTCCTGGTCGGCCGTGCCCGAGCTTTTGGAATCAGATTGCTCTTGGCGAGTACCAAGAGCGAAGGTAGACGTGCAAGACATGATGGGGAAAAGGAGCGTATGATGAACTATTGCAGATGTAATGGTTTGTTGTTGGTGCCAACTAATAAAAAGGCTTGGGGCAAGTCTAAGCTGTCAGACGTCCCTGCATGAAACAGTTTATATTGCGACTTAAACGATGCGAAGCTGACCAGTCAAAGCATAAGAATGCAGAATACTTTAAGGGTATTGGTCTCGAGGTTGTTACTTGTTGTGTAGCTGTGCAATGATAAAAGGCGCTGGAGGCGAAGTGGAGGAAAGTTCACTTTCACATGTGGAAGATTGTCGGTGTCATTGGTTGACGGAGGGGGCGCCACCTGAGCGCGCAAACTATCGGACAGGACGGAGTAACTAGTTAGCTTAGATAAGATCTCAAGTCAATACATATGTACCTACCTAAGTACATACCTCATGCAAGGGTAAATTAAGGTTCCCCACAATCGGAATCCCGTATATCGGTTGGGACGTACCGAATACAATGAAGGTTAGTCGGTCTGAATAAAAGGCATTGACTAACTGGTTTCAAATATGTGCAATAATTCTGGCTTCCGGGTGTTCCGTATGTATTATGCTAATGCCTGTATTCTTTTCGAAATTGAAGTTATAACTAGTATTAATTAAACTTAATCATAAAGCCAGGCTTGTTGTACATGTACGAGCTGATAGAGCTGTGTGTAAGCCCCGACTTTCTAACGTCTGTGACCGACATACATAAATCCAATATTGACTCTAATTTCCACTAGGTAGGTAGGTAGGTAGGTACCTATGTATGTAGTAATCTCCAATCATAACAACCCGTGGGGACGCATTCATGCAAAGTTACCTAATTCACTAAAGCACCAAGACCGGCAAACGGCGATTAAAATATCCGGGTTCAAGTAAGGCTGAATATCTAGTTACAAACAAATTCATTCCTGATTGGTCAACTTTCCAATAAGTCTAGACTACCTAGAGCCAAGACCTCAATACCCAGACGTCAACATCAAAAACACCGATATCAGTCATTAAGCTGTAGTTAGCTGTAATATCTTAGTTTATGAATCGCATTTGAGGCTAGGCCCAAGTCTCGACTTCAAACAACTCGCCTTACCCTCCACGATGGCGATCGACGAAATCGTGACAGATGCGAATCTATCGACCGTGCTCGATGCTTCCCGCGATACTCGAGTACAGGCGTTGAGACTTGTTGATCAAATCGCAGCAGCTGGGCCTATCGAAAGCGCATCTCCAGAGGCCCAACTAGAGACCTCTAAGCAGCAAAAGCTTCTAATCACCAACCTTGCACAATTGCGCGGCCTTCACCGATCGGCCTACTTTGGTGCCCGTCAGACCAAATCGCAGACGTCCGAAGCGCGCCAGGAAGTTGACCGTCTGCACCTACAACTTCAAAATCTATACTACGAGCAGAGACATCTACAAGGGGAGATCGCAGCTTGCGAGTCATATGAGTCAGTACCTACTGAAGCACCACCATCCAACTATCTTCCTCTACCAATTCAAGACCTCATCTCCATCTCTACATCAAGCAACAATCCTTTCCGCAACCATTATACTGCATCGGCACCTGAACTTGCGCAAGAACTAATTGTATTCAGCCATACTTATCAAAAACTTCCCCTGATACCCCTTGAAGAGTTCCTCGCATTGAAGCCCGACCACACCGATGATGACGAAAACGCTCTCATGATTGCACGGATCGAGCACGAACGTAGCGAGCGCGAGGCTCTAGAACAGAAGCGAATGGAATTGCTGAAGCGGAAACAGAAGCTTATTGCTGACAACAAAAAGAGAAAGGATGATCTCGCGAATCTTGATAAAGAGCTTGAAAAGTTCATTGACGTACGTCGACTCTGGAATGTCGTTTGGCTAGTATCCAATGCTTACATACCTTGAACAGGCTGCCAAACCAATCCAAAAACTATTCGACAAGAATGTCTAGCCTTTTAGACTTAGTAGAGCTTTCGTGTTCTTGTGGCATCAAACTATCGCATTTTCACCGCCGTGGCCCGCCTCATGATTTCTCCCTATATTAGTAAAGCTGGACGGGTATATAAGGTAATAAAAACTCTTGCTAGGTTTAAAGGAGACGCTAATCGTGTGTACCTCAGCTGTTACAGAGCAGTATCCGGGATATCTCATGTGCAAACGGACATATACCCTCAGCCACGGAACGGGATCATGAGACCCCCTTTATTATCAACTTACACCGTCAGATGCGGTTTATCACCCCACGCATAAATTATGTTGCACTAGAAAAGAGTACATACTTCGAGCGTCGACCGATGATACTCTAGGTAGAAGCTTTTCGATACGATATGGGCAATTGGACGATATCTAATACGATATTCAATTAGGCGTTTCCTGGCGAAGGTCTTGCAGATTACATACATGCTGCATTGTTTACGCCGTACGAGCTGGGTGGAGGGGAGTTTACGGTGAAAATGGCCATAAGTGACAATGATTGTGGCTCAGTCATCTGCAGCTCAATAGCTGGCCATTGGTGTAATTCATCGTTATCTGCATCCGAGCACATCTCCGAGCACATCTTTAATTGAGAATTCGGACTGCGAAATCCGCAGCCCGAATGGAAAATCAAATCCCTAAATTGATAGGAGCGAATAGTAGAGACAACTTCTTCAATGTGGTATGCAAGGGGCATCATACATACACCGCGAAGTTTTAGTCTTAAGAACAAGGAATTTCTTGTAGCTAAACCCCGCACATGATGCTAATGAGATAATAGTGAGCAAAAATAAATCTACCTGTCACTTTTTCCTCAAATGCACGCTGTAATAAATAGGGATTAATCGATGACACATATCTACGACATATACCACAAGACCTGCGTGTAAGAGCATGGGAACTGGCAGCTAAGTGGCTAACGGGCTACATACATAGGTAGGGACGAAAACTACCCGCAGACGTGTTGATTGGCCATATTTAATCCTACATAGCTGCAATGTCGCGTTTTTCTATCAGCTTGAACGCGTTTCACGGATTGGGGTGGCCCAGGTGGGCTCATGAAATAACATGGTGCATGGTGTACATATCGTATCGATCATTGCCAAGCAAAGTCGATATTTGGATAAGCCTTGCCCGAGGACCCCTTATTGAAAGGGCCCCCAGGTCTCTCGCAAAAAGGGATCGGGACTCTTGTTTCGGGCGACGGGCTAGCTAATGTTTTATACGCGGCCCCCAGC